AGCAGCAGGCTGGTGAGGACGAAGCCGACCGAGCGCCGCGTGGCCAGCAGCTGCTCGCCGAGGCAGAACGACACGATGGCCTTGTGCGTGGCGATGGCGGCGAACAGGATCCACACGTCTCGGCTGGCCGTCTCGAACGCCACGGCGAAGCCCTCGAACACCGAGTGCACGGACAGCGCTACGATCACCACATACGCGCGGAACGCGTGCAGAGTCGCGATTGTCGTTCCGTGGTCGTGTCCGGCCGTGCCGTGGTCGTGTCCGGACGTACCGTGGTCGTGTCCGGACGTGCCGTGGTCGTGCCCGGATGTGCCGTGTCCGTGTCCGGCCGTGCCGTCGCCGTGCCCGGCGGCGGTCGGGACCGCCGCCGCCGAGCCCTCCGCTGGCCGCGCCGCTGCCGGCGCCGTCGAGCGGTACAGCTTGTCATTCCATGACATGGCCTCCCGGTCGCCATGCACATGCACGACCACGGCGTCGGCCGGCGCGTCGGCGGCCGGTGGCGCGGCCAGCGCTAGGACGCTGCCGGCCTTGCGGACCGTGCCGCGGCCGGCCAGGAAGGCGTGCACCAGCTCCTCAACCAGGTAGACGAGGAAGAAGCCGACGCAGAGGAAGATCTCGCCGGCCGGCGCCTCCATGCCGGGCAGAAGGCCGGCGCCCGCGATCTGCGCGAAAACCTCGCGAATCTCGGGCATCATGTGCGTGAAGACGGTGCCGAGCAGCACACCGCCGCCCAGACAGAGCACGCATGAGACCAGCAGGTCGAGCCGAGCCGAGAAACGCAGCAGCGTCTTGCCCGGCGCGTGGTGGCGACTCCAGGCGCGCGCCAACCGCGAGCCCACCAGCGGCAGCAAGCCGCAGGTCAGCGAGATGACAGCAAATAACACCAGGCAGACGACCTTGGTCAGCAGCACGCTGTCCGCCATCGCCGCCGCGGAGGCTCGACGCCGGCACGCTGCAGTACAGACCCGCTGGGCTGGCGGCCACCTTCTGGCCGTTGTGCCGCGCCACGCCGCCACGCTGCCTTCGCCGCACCGCGTGCCCGGCTCCGCCAATCACAGGGCGCCCAGGGACGGCCGGTGACGTCACGGCCGTGACAGGCGGACCGGCGGCGAGGTATGACGCGAGGCGCGCTGCCGTGGCTCCTGCGCCTCCCGCAATGGCTCGGATCCTGGTCAGAGTAAGCCTGGCAAACCCTCTTCTCAGCGTTTGGTTTAATTAAGGTTGCCGTACCGCGTTGCGCCCTATGTGAGTAGTGAAGGGGTTCTGGGCGCTGAGGTGGCCACCTTGCGGGCAGTCTTGGCGTCCACCAGCAGTGAACTTTGGCCTGGATTTGCCAATCTGTGGGTACCCCGCGTCGACTCCGCACGCGAGTAACCGCCTTATCAGGCGCCATACTTGTGCGGCAGTGTTTGGGAGCTATTCGAGTGGTGCGGACATTCTATGATTCACAGAGACGCACTTAAATCTCCCCGAATATCGTGTTTTCCGGCGCTGCAGGCAAATCGGTTGGACCACGCATCTCGACGAAGAGCTTGTCATCCGGATCCGAGGGAAATATGTGTGACTGACATGCGTATCCAATAATCAACATTTCAGGCTGGCATCCCTCAGCTAACAGCCAAGTTCTTAGTCACACGTGAAGTTAGCCCTAGATGGAAGTCGATTCGACTAGAAGAGAGCCAACGATCATCGGATGCATCAATCGGGCCTCACGTTTCAGTTTTTGCGTCGGACAAGGCATCAGCAACTATGGCCATACAGGAAGCGTCATTGTATTCTTCTCAGAACACACTGTTCCCAGAGTACCGTCCTGGCAGGTGACCCGAACGGTGACAAATAAGTCCGTCTGCCCACAGGCGACCTCAGGAGCCCGAGCGGTATGGCCTACATCATTTCGTTCGACAACCACCCATAGAGAATGTTTCTCTATGACCTTTTTTGACCTTAAGACCCATGCCAGCGTTATGCGTTGCCACCAGCAGTTCACTATGGCCTCCACATAACAACAACCGCTTTATTTTCATTCCAAACGATTTTTGGATGCTGTGGCCAGTGCAAAACGCATGTACATCATGCCTTGCTTAATATTAAACAAAACTCTGTGTGCGGTATAGCCTCTAATCAATGCGTGTCGTCCTGAAACTTTTCTGGATTACCAACAGATCAAGTCAAGCCATCAGTTCCCAAATAGCCGCGCGGGTGCCTGTGATGAAGTCACCACCAGCAGACTGACGTCGCCATGCATCCAAGTGTTGCGCCCGCTGGTGAACGGCAGACGGTTTTCATCCGCGCAAGTAAGTCTCCACTCTTTGTCTGCCCCTGTTGAAACCGGAATTAATCGTAAAAAACAGTCCAAGGCCCTTGGATCGTGGTTCTTACTTAAAGTGTGAACCGTCTTGCTTGAAACACGCGACCCTGGACATTGACCCGGACTTTTTCCCGTAACATTTTGCTCGTTGCTAGCCCAGTCTCTAACATACCGTTTGTGGTTTGTGCCGACAAAATTATAGCACGGCTAGCAGGAGTATCGGAAATTGTGATCTGAGTGTCGCAGGACATGCGGCACGGGGGCTTGCATCAGAGAGAAAAACATCTAGCGGCGAAGAAGAACATGACATCATGGGCCGGCCACGACCAGACACAAGCCGCGGCATCGGACAATGAGGTTTGAAAAGTGGCCGGTTGAGGCACCAGTGGCTTCTCGAGACGGAACAGATGTGGCACCATGGGAGGCAGCATTCCAGCTGAGATGTCGTCATAGGCCTGGATTATCCGGGGCGGTAGCACTCTGGCGGCAGGACGGGATGTGATGGAGGGATATGACGGGATATGATGGCGGGATATGATGGCGGCATGGCTCTCAGATGGAGGCCTCGGCGCGTAAAGGTATCCGGTTAGATTTCTACCGCCATGCAAAGTTCGTTGACACGCGTAGATGCCAATCACGGGATCAGAATCCTGGATATCGGGATTGAAATCGATGCCGATTCCTCGACTTACATTTCTGAAATCCTATGATCTGATTTTCAGGAAAATATACACGCCACGTTTCATCAAATGATACAGAATCTCTCAGCTTATCAAGGTTTGTGGCATATCATGTTTGTATCTTATGCTTGGTTCAATATCATCAAGTACGGAACATTCCCTGTAAGTTTCGGGTGCCAGAAGTGGTCGGGGATCTCAGAGATGTTGCGCCAAAGGCTGATGAGAGGACACTGGTTGTTTTGCATCAGACGGGCTCGGAATTTACACTGGTCCCACACGCACCCACTCTCGGATCATTACGCGTACATCCTGCGCACTTGTCCCTGGAAGACGCTGGCGGGAGAGCTGCATTCCGGTCATACGGGATGCACGTGGGTCGGCGCGTGGAGCGACCACGTGGGGGACCGTTATGTCGCGTAATGGCCGCGGTCACGCATCTCGCGACGAGCGACGCGTCGTCCGCGCGGCTTATCGCCTTTGTCGTTGGCAGTTGTTTGGTAGATGTTTTCCCCAGTTCGTCAGCTGAGCAAGGGTCGGTCGCCTCGCGGCGACTGGGGGGACTGGCGTATCTCGCCAGTTATCGGACCCCCATACCGATAAGGCCGATAAGGAATACTTTTGCGTTAGTGCGGACCCTTGCGCCGATCCGAGTCCGACTGACTGTCCCGGCCAGAGAGCCTGCCGTGTCAGGGAGAGCACCGATGCATAATGTATTCTTCTGAGGGCCTCCGGATCGACCTGGGAGAGCCGATGTATCGTGTATTCCTCTAAGGGCTTCCGGGTCGACCTGGAGCCCTTTCCACGTGCCGTTAAAAGGATAGCCGATAGCCGGTAGGTACCCCGGGTTGGGACGAAAGAGCGCTTCAATTCCAAGCCGGGAAATGTGATGCAACCCCTGTTGTTCAGCGCATGCTGCTCTCCGTCCGGGGAAGGGACTTCGGTTTCCCCTGGTAAAAGGAATTTCCTTAGTATCCAATAGGGTGGGTCGACAAGCGTTCAACAACTTTTTCGATGTGACCAGCACATGTTTTACTAGGGACCTCAACACTTTTTCGTACTCGGCTCGTGAAAAGGCTATGTAAAAAAAGTTTTGAGCATTTACTCCTGTATAGCGTTGCAACGGGCCGCGTGCTGTGCAATATTATTTTTGCATTTTTTCAATTTTTGATCAATCTCTTTTTTAGGTGCTTTCAGGCCTTCCGAGGGGATTGGAAGTGATCCTGGAGAGCTATAATGCTCCCTTTTACCACAAACCGCCTTTACAAATTTTGCATTCTTTTGCTACAATTGCCAAAATGCTTGTTCAGAAGCTCTCCTACCTCTCCATAACACTAAAAGTGTTTAGGGTGCTACCTTCCTTCGTTTTTCCTGCCCATCTCATTCAATGCCAGTGGTGTCCTCCTATGTTCATACAATCTGGCCGTCTCGCAGAAAATCTGCACTTAGCACTGTGCTGTGCCCCGTGCTTTCTTTCACAGCTACATACCAGAGTGAGGCTAGCCAATGCCTTGTGAAACACATGCGTACTTCACCGCTCAGGGTGGAGTCTGAGGCTGAGATTAGGAACATAATGATATCGAGAGAAGCCGGTAGAATGGTTATTCTCCTGCTATATCCGCCTGACAGGACATGGGTTCCGATACGCCCTGCCAGGCATCTCGCCTAGTCCGCAGAGTAGGCCTTCGGCTTCAACTTTAATCCATAGGCCCTCAATGTATCTGCAGAGCCCCCCAAAATACAGGCAACGCTCCTGGCTGTTGTCGGCTTCAAAATTGTCCAACAGCCTGAGCGTCTAAGCGACATGAAGTGTGACTGTCCGGTCCAACAAAACACAATTCCTCTGTTTGGGTATTCTTCCGACAGGTAAGGCAGCAATCTCTTCCGTTTATGGTACTGGCGGCACATGGCCTCGGTCACATTTAACGCACTGGGATATATCACAGGTCAGGGTACCCCTTTCGGAGAGAAAGCCGCCCTCACGAAAAGTCCTGTGGAAACTTGCCAGTAGGCCACATCGTCTTATCGGGGACGTTTCCACCAGGCCAAGTACAAAAAATATCTGTTGGCGGGCATGTCCCTTCTAGGAGGCACAAGTAAAGCGCACATCGTTGCACATCATTGTTTTGCTCTCAATATCACGCATTTAATGCAAGGGATTGCGTTCGCTAGAAATGTGAAGTGGAGAAAGTCGGTCACGAACAAGTGCGATGCGAAGGAGTCGGAGAAAACAAATCGCGCACGCGAAGAAGAAGCGTGTTCTGAGAATAACTGAGCATGCGAAGAAATGCGATTCAAAGAATGTCATGTTCGAATAATGCGATATAAGGAATAGTGCGAACAATTGCAATACAAAGACAAATGAGTGCACAACGAAACGCAATATGACGAATTGTGTATACGAAGTGTGCTGACACGAAGACCTGCAGATACGTATATATCTAGATAAAAATATCTGGACAATAATATTTGCGTGCGAAAACGAGGCTTTGCGTACCAAGAAATGCATAATGAAGAAATGCGTTATGAAGTCTTGCCTAGTCGCGAGCTTAGCAATCTCCATTGCTGGTGGTCTCAGAGCAAATTTCGTCATATACAATTATTCGGCATGTTTAGCACATGCTGCAGTTACGATCAGCATTGTGCTCTTTGCTGCACAGTGTTTCTCAATTCCGATAGAAATTTGTCGAGTACATAACAGTCGACTCGAGACACTCGAAACGCTCGATACGTTCCCAAAATTTATGGGTAGCAGATGATTGGAGAAAGCCGACACATTCAAGTGTGTAGTTGGAATCGATTTTAGGCTTTCGGCACATTCCGCACTGTCGACAGAACTTGTACGGTCAGCAGCCGATTCGGGACATTCGACATATTCCACACATCAACTGCACGTCTGACATAGTTGGCAACCGATTCGAGGCATTCAGCCAATTCGCTACGTTCATAAATTTGTGCATCCCTTGTGTGGCCGATGGAGCTTGAAAC